GCTATTGCTAGGCCCTACGCTACTCACAAGTTTTGACAGATTGTACTGTCATCATCAGTGTACAGAGATTCTATATAGGCAATCTTATTTATACGGAGGGAGGTTTGTGACACGTGAATCTATACGTAATTCAACCAATTGAATTATTCTTGAATTTTATAAGTAATTATTATATGTATATAGTAAGAGGCTGCATATTAAAATTTTGTCATAAACTAATATGTATGTATTTGTTTATACACATAAATGACATGCCTACCATGAAATTCTTGGGTGGTCCTCCATACCTAGAAAATTTTCTTTTTTTGTTTATTGGCAAATCTCCATAATGATTGGCGGATGATTTTCGTTTAGAATTTTCAACAAGTTCAGGTTCTTCTAGCAGGAATCCACTTTCATTTGGAACCTTTTCTTGAAATTCTCTAAGAAGTAGACGCAGGTGTGAGTTGAGAAGGCGTTGATCATGACAGCTCAGTTTGTATGTCAACTCCTCCAGTTTTTTAAGTGTTTCCCTGTTTTCTTTAGCGAATTTGCTTGTTCCTGATGCTTTATGTGGCCTGACATCGTCGAATTGACATTTGTCAGACTCATATGATCCATCTGTAGTGCCGTTGTTTGAAAGCGTTGGGATTTGTTGGCTTTTATTTGGTGGTTGATTTGTAAGCCTTGCATCATCTAGATCAATCACAAAGAATGGACTGTCTCGATACCAGGATGGTAGTCGATCCCACTGCCACTCTTTATTATGAATAAATATGGCACAAAAGTGCTTACAAGGCAGATGATTATCCACCCAGTCTTGACATGTGCAAGAAGGCATTTTCTCTTCAGTGCCAAAGCTAACAATGTGATGCTGGCCATAATAAGTTTCTGACCGTACTGTAAAACTCTTGTTGATCAATTCTATGTCTTTCTTGCAGTATTCTGCCTCAGCCTTTGACCAGCGGTTGTACACATGTTTATAAAACTTAGCAGGGCGGCTTAAAAGGAACTCTGGAATGTTTAGTGGATAGGCTGAATATCCCTCCAGTGCCTTTATGTTGTTCTTAATGTATCTGCAGATTGAAAGCCATGTTTCATTATTTGATTAATGCATTATCAAATTTAAAGATTTATTGTTCCTTGAAAGTTAAAAACAAAATCATAGTGCTCAAATAATTTTTAAATTAACATGTGTATTCTGATTCTCAAAATGGAAAATGAAAATAAAAATAATAAAACACTGCCAGTGACTGGAAGTGTTTTTATCATTTTTCGTTGTAAAATTATGGAAACATAGTTATTTACACTTCAAATTGGGCAAGTAAATTTCAGAAATGATTTTTTTTTTTTTTTTTTGGTATTTTGTTTGGGACAATTCTTTTATAATATTGATTCTTATAGCTACACTAGGCCCCAGAGACAAAGGACAATAACTGTATTGATATGCCACTTACTTGACCATAGATTCAGGTAGAAATTCCTCAATGATTGATTGACAAACAGATGTGATAGATCTGTCTACTTTGTCCCGAAGGTAGTCATACTTCAATATTCTATTCTGGCGCTCAATACCATTGTTGGTGTTGAGGGATGTTAGAAATCTATCAAGTCGGTAAGCTTTTACCCATCTCTGTAGAATATAATAATTTTAGATGTGTATGTGTTGTATGATTGTTTGGAATAGTTATACAATGACAATATTGAAAAGATGACCAATTCATCAATTTGTATGTATTTTCAGTGACTTTTGGACTTTTTAACTGTATATGGTGTTTGTAATAATAGACAATATTATAATTTTTAAAGAAGTACTGTGCCAAAATTACTGTTTAAAGACAGCTCTTATACTTATTTTAAGTATTTTGTTACAAATTCTTTGATTATGGTATTAGTCCTGAGAATTGTTTGGATTGTTCTTCTCAGAACCTGATACCATAAATTGGGATTTGTTGCATATGCCACATAGTGTACCAAAAGTATTACAGTAGTTATTGTCAATACACCATTTACCAACCTACAAGTCATATTTAAATATATTTAGAAATGATTAAAGCAACTATATTGTTGGGGGATATTATAATATGCCATGTTTTTGAAGGAGTAAATAATAATTAAGGCTTTCTTAAATACATGTTTATATTCTTTATGCATATTTACCTTCTTTTCAGGTAGCCACACTTTTTCAAAATAGTCTCTTAACCTTTTGTTGCACTTCCAGTATGTTGTTTCTTTGAACGAGTCTAGTGCTTGGTTGAAATCTTCCTCCGTCTTCGCCCCAGCTAGAAGTTTGGTCATCTCTTCAATATTGTCTTTGTATTTTCTTACTCCGTTTTCAGACTTATTACACCATGTAGTAATTGCTTTTATCCTATATCTTTTAAAAATAAACATTAGAATTAGTTATTGATAATAGTTTTTAAGTATTCAACACATGTCCGTGGGGTGACACTGGCGCTTTTCATGTTTTAGTCTGGCACACAGAGAACTGTATATCATCATCATAAAACTCCCTAAAACATCAACCAAGCTACCCATTGTAGAACAAGATAAAATATTATGATGAATTTGTTGTATAAAAGGAGATTAATAGTATTATATCAAACTGTTTATGAGTTAAAATTGTGTCAACCCACACCAGTGGCTTATAACAGACCTTGCCAGGAGCAAATGTGTCCACCTAAGAGGAGATGGGTATGGGGTGTGTATTGCACATGATTTTAGAAATATATTAGGCCTGTGCATCTTCATTATATAATTGTATATTAACATTTTTTATGGTTAATTCAATAATTAATGTAATTATTTTTATTGCTTAATAATCACAATTATTACCTGGAAATGTAAACTCTAAAGCATTAATTTCTGCTTTGCAGAAGTCACTCATCCAGCATTTTGGCCGCCATTCTGGGTTCCAGTTCTGGAAAACAGATAACGCCTCTTTGATGCTTTCTTCCGTCTCATAATGGACAACAAAAAATCCAACTACCTGGTACACATTGTTTGTTGGCACACAGATAAAAAAAAGAGGAAGAGCATACTTTGATGTTTTATAAGTAGCATCAAGAAGGCTTATTTCATTACCATATTTTTTCATAATCGATCTTTGAAAGTTATTTTGGAAACAGAATAAAAAGTTGTTCTTCGTATGGACAAATTTTAAGTTGCTTTCATCGTCATCTTTCTCTTCAATGAACACTTCTTCATCTTCTTGTTTCAGATGTGGCCTGAAAAAAACATTATTTTCATCTTTCCAAATTTCACTGTTCAGTTCCAGATTTTCTTGATCTAATTTGCTCAATCTCATTTCTTTTATGGCAGCACATATGTAATTTCCTATGTCCTTGTTTTCAGGAAAAAAGCGCCTATTTAAAGGACTTGGCCTTTGTGGTAGTTCATGAGTTAGAACTTCATCCACAAACCTCTTTAAGTGTCTTTTCATCTCACCAACTCTCTGTACTCCATTAAGGACTTGTCTCTTTACCTCTTGAATAATTCTTTTGTCTACTGGTATTCGTACACCTGATCCCTGTTGTAAAATTACAAAGCATCATAATAATAATAATATTATTATTAGAAGTGTATAAGAGACAGGTATATCATCATCATAAAACTCCCTAAAACATCAACCAAGCTACCCATTGTAGAACAAGATAAAATATTATGATGAATTTGTTGTATAAAAGGAGATTAATAGTATTATATCAAACTGTTTATGAGTTAAAATTGTGTCAACCCACACCAGTGGCTTATAACAGACCTTGCCAGGAGCAAATGTGTCCACCTAAGAGGAGATGGGTATGGGG